TGTGTGTTTTAAGGAATTGTCTCATACAGTTGGGAGGGCTAGCAAGTTTGAAATCTGTAGGGCTGGCTAGCAGCCTGGCAATTCAGGTTGATGTTGCAGTATTGAGAACTCTGTAGGGCTGCAGGCTACGAACTCAGGTAAGGCTTCTATGTTGCAGTTGTGAGAATTCCTTTTTCAGGAAACCTCAGTCTTTGCTCTTAAGGCCTTGAACTGATTGAATGAGGCCCCATCATATTATTCAAATTGCACTGATTTAAATGTTAATCACATGTTAAAAAACAACAACCCTTACAGAACATCTAGTCTGTTGTTTGACCAAACAACTGCGCATATAATCTAATCAAGTTGACAGATAAAATTAACCATCACAATGTACACATGTACATTTAACTCTACAGTAGAATACACTCATTAATTAACAACAAATCCCTTGTATTCATCAATTTGCCTTACTAGTATTTAGATAAAGATTCTTAATCTGAAATCCATGGACCTCTAGAGGGTCTCCCATCTTCAGGTGGGGGGAGGAGGTCCATGAAACATTCTAATTACATACAGCATTTTGAGTTGATGTGTGTTCATTTTTCTGGGTGATGAGTCCATAGTTTTCACCATATTCTCAGAAAACTCTAGAAGGGTATGAGACTGGCCAAGAAAGGTCAAGAAGCCACTATAGACAGACATCTAAACTGAGTGGACCATTTTTGACATTTGAAGGCTGGGTTCTCATGTCTGAAAAAGCAGCACCCTTACCAACTGCCCTGGGAGTTACTCATTACACAAATACTAAGTCCTCACCAACTGCAAATAATAGATTAAATATAAATCTTTGCTTTCCAACAAAGTTTTCTATATCTTACTCTGATATGATATTGCAAAGTGGGGGGATGGAACGGTCTCATAGTTCAGTCCCAAATGAGTCTTTCAGAAGCAATTTTTCGGTCATTATAATTTTATGGGTGAGCTATTTAGTTAATTCCTGGCAGTGGAGTGAGCAGCAGTGAGGGGCCTTCTAAAATTTTAGAAATGAGAAAGAATGCTGCTCTTTGAATCCTAAACCTATCAACTCAACACATATAAGAAGTCAGCAAAATGTCTCCTAGGCCCTGAGAACAGCTACATAGTTAAAGTGAATAAATCAATTAATAGGAAAAACTAGTATTTTAAAGCAGTTCAGACTACAAATAGGCTGCACAGGGGAATTTATAGGGTGATGGAAATACTCTATGTGATACTGTAGTTTTAGACAGATGACTTATATCTTTGTCACAACCCATAGAATTATGCATCACAAATAGTGAATTTCTGCACGCAAATTTCAAAAATACCAACCAGGATGCCCAGGGATCCCAGGATGGAATGCAGACAATGACTAATGAACATAATTGTATTACAAATGTATAATATAACTTGACTGAAGGAAGTGAGGAAAACAGGAGCTAACAAGTAACTTTGGAAAACCATGTTTTGACTGGATACTTTAAGGCTAAAGACAAAACTAGTGACATGAGTTAGCATTTCTGAAACTGCTTTATATATATACTAGGGTAGAAGAATTAAATAAGTTGTAGATAATAGGAGGCAGATTTCCAACTGTCAGATAATAGTTAAAAAATTAATTACAGAGAAAGAGGCTAGAGTTAATCCTATAGTGCTGTATTAGAGTTGGGGATGTATGAACTCATGTTTATTTTAAGATATATGTAGACAGATACAGAAACATATATATGTGTGTTTACATGGGTTAGTATCTACATGTACACACATACATACACACACACACATTTACTAGCTTTGTTCACTGAGTGAGCTGAGAAACAGTGGCAACTCAGTAACAGTGAGCACACCCAGGACCCAAACCTTGGTTTCTAAGTATAATTCTCCAATAAAAGGATACTGAAGGCAACCTGAAATAGCTCTCAAAGCTAGAAAAATTTGGCCAAAGCTGGAACTATTTGAGCAACAAAATAATGACAGTACTCTATTATGACCCAAAGAATAAAATATCCATGAACCTATACTGATATAAACAATTGAATAAATAAGTAGATAGGTTAGTGCTGAAGAAAGAACAAATTTTTCTTACAGAAGAATTCAAAACAATATTTGTAGATACTTCCTCCTCCAGGAAGTAGAGATAATTCCCCTCTCCTTGAGTGTGGGCTGGATTTAGTGACTTGCTTCCAAGGAAAGTATGGGAAAGAAAAATAGTAACTTTCAATGGAGAAAACTGGCAGGTACTACCTTAACCAACTCAATAAGGTTAACATCATCAGTAATAAATCATTTTGATATCATATACCTCCTGATACATGATGTGCAGAGAAGGTACTTCACCTTTGTGGTAATTTCCCCCAAAACTCATAACTCTCATATAATCAGGAGAAAAACCCAAATTGAAGGACATTCTCAAAGTATCTGACCAGCTCTCATCAAAACTGTCAAAGTCATAAAGAACAAAGAGACTGAGAAACTGTCAAAGATTGGAGGGGATTAAGGAACCGTGATGACTAAATGCAGTATGGGATACCAGGTAGGCTCCTCAAATAGGAAAAGGACATTAGCGGAAAAACTGGTAAAATAAAAATAAAGTGCAAGGTTAATGGTATTATAACTATGTTAATTTCTTAGTTTTGACAACTGTACTGTATTTGTGTTAAGATGTTAACAGTAGGGGAAGCTGGGTGAAGGGTACAAGGGAACTCTTGATACTACCTTTGCAACTTTTTAGTAAATCTAAAATTATTCCAAAAGTATAAGGTGGTTCTGAAAAGCAAATTCTGACAGAGTGCCTAGTACAAGAAAAACGTTCTTCTGTGGGTCAAGAATACTTCCCCAGGCCTGAGCTGGCTGAAATATGCCTCAGGTCTAACTATATGCTTTGACTGGAATTCCCTGCTTATTCAACAACTTTCGGAATGTTGATTCAGCCTACAAGGGACTGTGGTCCTGGGAAAGGAATGCAGTGAAGAGAGCACAGGAGCATAATGTCACTAGAAAGACATATCCCCTTACTATAAATCAATCATCCAGCATTCAAGCTAATTGCACCAACTCAGAAGATTCTGTTATGAATCTCTCACTGAGAACCTGTTCATTCTAGGGTCCAAAGTCTATTTTCTGGACTAGCAAGCCTCAAATTCAGACCTTACAGTCTGGTGGGTTCCCTCCCTAATTCCTCCCCACCCCCACTCCCAGCACCCCTTTATCCACGTCGTTGTTCCAGCCCATTAGGCCTCCCAATAGTCAGCTCTCCCAGTGATACCTCCAGGAACACCATACCAGCTATATACAAGGTATTTCTGATATCTTGGCATCCCTTTTACTTTCTTGAATAACATGAATACCAGTTTAAAAAGTGAGATTCCCTCAGCTCCCTTGATATTTTTACTAAGTAAATATTGTGGCTGTATCCTAGAAAAATTAGGGCACAACACCAATAAACAATGACTCTAGAATATAGCCTCTACCAGGTTTTTACTGTGCTGAAAGAAAAGAACTTGATTCTCTCCCTCCTGTATAAATAATTTTTCTTTAATCTCTGTGTACATTACTTGTGCTTTTCCTTACCATTCTATGTTTGAAGGCCTATGTAACCTGAATTGCCACTTTCCTTTACAGAGATGAAGAGAGAAGTACTCATGTCATTTGTATTTCAAGTATGAAGTCATTCCTCTTTCTCGCTTTTTTATCCATTCTAAAACTTTGCCTTGAACATCAAGTTCTTCTGGCCCACATGACTCTAACCTGGTTGTCAATAATTTTTAGTAACTATTGTAACTGAGAGCTTTTCTTTCCACTCAAAGTTCACCAAACCCTATACTAAAAACAGAAATGTGTTAGTGAATCAAGCAGAGGCATGCAGAGCATCTTCTTGTGTAACCCGCAATGAAAAGTAAAGTTGCTGAATATTTGTTTCCTTTTCATTATTCAAACTTGATTACATATAATTTTGTGTGTGTGTGTTTCCTACAGTAAATACACACTTAACTTTGAGAAATGGATGGGGTGATTTTTGACTGAGAGAATTTTTGTCTTATTACTACAGACAAGCCTGGACCTTGAAATGCCTGACTTCTGTATATTTCTCTCACAGGATTGGGTAAAGAGTGGGAAATTTCCTTCCCTTTACATTGTGGATGAGCAGTTAACCCCCCTCATTCTTCTCTCTGGGAGCTGATCCTTGCCAGGGTCCCAGGGCCTTGACTCAGTTTCCTCTTCATTCTGGTCCCCCGTTCCATACTGTGCTCACAGTAGGTGAGGTGAAGGCGAAAGCAAGCAAGGAAGGGGGAAAAAAAGCCCAACCCGCTGTTGCCACGATATTAGTCAACACCATGTCCTTCTGCATCACCTCCTTCCTAACTTTTATACTACCCTCATGGTCAAGAAAGGCTGACTGGACTGGGAACGGCCCAAGTTGGGATTTTATGACAAGAAGAAGGAATGAGAAAGGGTAAACTCCATCCCAATACAGCTTCAGACCCTAATTCTCCCACTCCCTGAAATAATGCCTCACCCTTTTCCATAGAACTTTCTTTAGGTTCTTTGTACACTAATTTCTTGCCTCCTGTTTCAGCCTTTGGTCAGTCCCTATTCTCCCTGCTCCTCAACCATCCCACACCCTACTCCATTGTTATGCTGTTCTTGCACCAGTGCCAGTAATGCGGAAGGCCCACTCTCATTGTCAGAGGGAAGAGAACAGCACCTCCAGGGAATGGTACTGAAGAAAGATTTGCTTCTAGCACCTCAAGATGGAATTCTGTCACTTACCTTGATAAACCTAAAGAATATGCATATACCACTATCTCTTGATTCATTTATTTTATCAATGAATGATCAACTAACTGCCTAGTCTCTCCACCTTTTCAACGTACTCACATATTTCCAAGTGAAGATACTTAGTAGGCAACGTTCAGGGGACAGGATAAGCCTGGATGTTTAAATTTGGGAGTTGTCAGCATCCATATGATATCTGACATACAGATTGAATAAAGGCGCAAGCTTCAATCCTTATAATAAATTTTAGTAAAGTTCAATTTCTTTTTCATTTCTGTATATATACATATTTTAAAAACACATCTATAGAAGTTCTCACATTTTCTTCCCACACATGCCTGGGGTGGTAGAGCCTTGCTTTGCAGAACAGTGCTCAGGGATACAGAAATCCAATGGCCAAGTTCTACAAAATGTACATTTTCAGTTTTACTGCAAACCGCCAAATTGCTTTTCTAAATGCAACGTACTAATCTGCAAGCAGTTTATGAAGGAGCTCCTGTTTCTTCACATCCTTTCTTAAACTTTATATTATCAGACTTCATACCTGCCAGTCTGTGGATTGATCTCTCCCCTCAGGGATCAGATTCCTGCTCTATCTCATTAGAGGAGGAACTGCCACTCTCACCTTAGCACAAGACCTTTGCCCATTTAATGTCCCTGAAAATAAGATTATTCCACAGAAATAAAAGTTTCGTTAGTGGGCCAGTAATTAAATGTGGATTTAATACTTTCTTTTCTGATCCCTATAATCACATAACGTTAAGACATTGTACCAGGAGCCCATTAAGCACTACCACCTACTACTTGGCACATAAGTAAGCCTTCAATAAATATTTTGTGAATGAACAGAAGGAGATGTCACTACATAGCCATGTACAAATACAACCGGGCATCTCTCTTGATCCCTCTCTTTTTGCTGCTTCCCTGACATGAATTACCAGGTCCTGTCAGTTCTACTTCTGAGATATCTTTTGTGGCCCTGTCTTATGAATTCCCACTACCATTGCCCAAGTTATGGACATCTAAATCTCCTCTCTTCCTTTCTCATTCTTCCATCCCCAAATTGAAAATGTGTGGGTTATTCTCTCATGTTTATGTGACATTCTACATGCTCATCTTCTGCCTAGAAAATACTCACCTGACAATATTCTTACTTATCCTTCAGAATTCAAGTCAAATATTACCTCCTCTGTGAAAACTTTCTTGACTCCTGGGCAGTTTCTCCTCTGTGCTCCCACAGATGTTCTAGTGACTCTTCTCATTGGACTTACATTCTGTTGTGTTCATCTTTTTTGCTATCTTGACCAATGCTGTCCAATAGAAATATAATGCAAGCCACATGTAACTTTTCTAGTAGCCACATTAAAAAATGTAAACAGAAACAGATTAAAAGAATTTAAATATTTTAATTTAACCTGATACATCCCAAATATCATTTCAACATGTAACATTTATTAATGAGGTATTTTATTTTTTGGTACTAAGTCTTCAAAATTGTGCGTGTTTTTTATACTTATAACATATTCCACTCCAGACCGGCCACATTTCAGGTGCTCAATAGCCACATGTGGTTAATGGCTCCTGTACTGAAAGACTAGTATGACGTTCAAAAGGAATTATATCTTGTTAATTTTTGTATTCCCAGGTGTTCGACTTGTCAGAAATGCCTAACAAATGCTTGCTAAATGAATTAATGAATAAATGAACAATGATAAAAATTAGCTAGTGCTGATTGCATGTGAAAGGCACTGTGGTAAGCAATATACATAACTTCATTCCTTTCCCTACCGGCAAATGTTTAGTTGGTATTCAATGGCTACTTAACAGTCATTAAGTAATTAGTCTTGGGAAAGCCACTTGTTTGTTAAGAACTCAAGTTTTCCTACTTGTGAAAGACGGGGGGATGGGCAAAGTGAGACTTAGACCAGTTCTGAAATAGTGTGGATATAAATGAATGCAGAGCATTTAGAGTTGAGTCATGAAAACAATGAATGATCAGATAAATTTTAGGAGACAATGTTGCACAGTGGAAGGGCACAGGCTTTGGAATTAGGCACACCTGGTTAGAATTCCCAGCTCCACTACTCAGTTATGTGCTCTTAGGCAATGAAATTAAATTTCCCAGTCTTCCACTTCTTCCCTGTAAAATGGAGACAATAGCTACCTGTTGCAGGGTTCGGAAATAATACCTATAAAGTCTTTGGCATGTTAGTACACCTTTAAAAAACAGAAGACATTATTATTGGTTCTGAGAAGTCTTTCATTCTATTTTTTCCCCCTTAGGATTTAACAGTCGTAAAGGTAAGAGTTTAGATAAGGCTTACCATGTGCCGGAAACTGTGATAAAAAGCTTAAAAATATTAACGCATTCAGCTTGATAGCACCCCTATGAGGTAAGTGCTATTACTGTCATTTCCATTTACCCCCAGGGAACTGAGGCACAGAGGGTAAGTAACTTGCCCAGGGTCACACACATAGTAAGTCGTAGTGCTTCGATCCTACACCCAGGTGTTCAGAGTCAGGACTGTTAATCACTGCTCTATTCTTCTCAAGCCAACCACTGACTAATTTATTAGAAAAAACCTACAATTGGCTGCTCTAATAAATATCATAACAGAGTGGTTAAATGGCTTTTTTATGGAGAACCTAATCTGCGCACTGTTCTCTGATCTGGAGAATAAGTGATTAGGAACTGAGTTAAATATAAGTTTTATTTCCTTAAGAGTCATACATGTGTGAATACCCTGACAGATTTTTTTTACACATAGGTGTGGTTTGCTGTCTGAGGTTCTCCCAGTTCAGGTCCTTTGTTTCAACTGTTTCTGGGAAGAGGGCTTTCCCTAGAAGCTCAAGGGTGAGCTGATACTGATCTCAGAGACTTTAGGCACAGTTCTCAAAAAGCACCACCCAGAGAGCAGGACATAGGGGAGTCAGAGTCTGTGGCTTACCCCTTGGACATGCTGTGATGTTCTAATACAGATAATGAACTAGTGATTCCCACTTCTGGGCATCTGAAGCAGCTCAGTTCTGACTAATGTGCAAAGAGAGTAAATCCCTAAAAAAGAAAGAAAAAGAAAAAAAGAATAATTTCCAGGTCTCAGGGTCCTACTGAGTTACTACTGCCCCCAAAGTGAGCTCCAAACAATGACAATGCCACCCACAAAAGAAGGGCAAATGACCACCAAATCAGTTGTGGGAAGAAACAGGCCAGCAAGATGGTTACTTCTTTCCACAGTGACACTTGGAAAAAAGACAGCAGATGGTATTTAAAGAAATGTTACAAATACTGTTCCTCTTCCTCCCAATACCTGTGAGTCGGGTAACACCAGAACACTGTTAGCAATAAACAGGGCCTGGAGGAGACACTTGAGAATGTAGGGAAGGCAAAATTTTACCTCTACCTCCTTAGGGGTTTTCAGCTGGGCCTGAGAATTAAACTGACATAAGACAGGAGAAATGTATACAAATTTATATGTTTTACGTGACACGGGGGCTCTGATAAGAAAATGAAGATGAAAAGAAATGGCAAAACCTACAGGCTTTTACATTAGGTTGAACAAAGAGAGGAAATTGTGGGAAAGTAACTAAATTATATGGGGAGGTTAAAGGAAGATAAGAATTAACAGTTCTGTTTATACAGGATTCTCAGCTTTGATTCCCCATTGAAGAATGTTTCTTTCTTCTGGTATAGGAAGGGTATCTTTCACCTGGGAGATTTTATCTCCTGTTTTCAGGAAGAAATGGGGAGATTAGAAGGCCGCTTTGGCATCTGCTATTCTTCCAAGTGCCTTTAGTTCAAAATAATCCTTATGTCACAGTAGCATATTTTGGGGTGGTATATTCTGCCACTTTTTATTCTTCCCCTGTGAAACTTCACCCCAAAGATTCATAGTGCAGAATCTGAGCTTGCAGATTATTCTGTTTCTCCTCGAATTAGTCTTGAGAATAGGTCAGTTTATTTGAACAGTTGTGTCTTAGTTAAGGAGGCAGTGGTGCAGGTGAGAGCAGTAGCTCATCTAAGTTAGATCTCTATATGATGTGAACAATCAGGCATTTAGTGAGGGTTTTTTTGTTTGCTTGTTTTGTTTTTTTGTGGTACGCGGGCCTCTCACTGTTGTGGCCTCTCCCGTTGCAGAGCACAGGCTACGGACACGCAGTCTCAGCGGCCATGGCTCACGGGCCTAGCCACTCCGCGGCATGTGGGATCTTCCCAGACTGGGGCACGAACCAGTGTCCCCTGCATCGGCAGGCGGACTCCCAACCACTGCGCCACCAGGGAAGCCCTCTCCAACTTTTTTAATGTACTGCTGTGTTTGACATGCATCAAGCAATTTATTTTTACTATATGTCCTGATTTTAAATTGAGTTTAAAATTTTACAATCTTAAACATCTAGTAGAGATAACATAAATTCATTTGACTAGTAAACCCAAATAGAATAAGTGCTATGTCTTCATTATATTTACTGTTGACAACTCTGAAGACGTGACTTAAACAAGCTTTTATCCCAGATCCTGTGAGCCTGAGAAACATTTGGGTTAGTTTCTATATTTCTGAGAGTTTTAGGAATACTTTATATAAGCGTTTATTTTTTTAAACCAATTAAATAGAACTCTTTTACAGAGTAATTTTGGCAGTATCATCCAGAGGTAGAAAAATATTACATATATACATAGACATATAGAGACATATACAAAAAGAGATCTTACAGTTTTCATTTTAAACCTTAGCCATGAGTTAGGTATAAATATAGAAACACAAAATTTACTAACTTATACAAGAGTTATCTTCATCTTATTAATTTTTTCCTTTCAATTTGACCTTCCCATAGGTAACAGTAGGATAATTGTATAGGGTGGGAGCTCTCTAAAAACTCCTTTTAGATATAGAAGTCCAAATATTCAAGAGTATACCTATTTTTTTTTTTTTTTTTTTTTTTTTTTGCGGTACGCAGGCCTCTCACTGCTGTGGCCTCTCCCGTTGCAGAGCACAGGTTCCAGACGCGCAGGCTCCGCAGCCATGGCACGGCATGTGGGATCTTCCTGGACCGGGGCACGAACCCCTGTCTCCTGCATCGGCAGGTGGACTCTCAACCACTACGCCACCAGGGAAGCCCAAGAGTATACCTATTTTAATTATGACTCAAAACCAATAAGCCTTTTATGGCTTAGCCACAGACATGAGAGGCATCCCCAAAGAGAGTACAAAAGATGCAGCCCTCCCAAAATCCAGAAAGTTCACTCCCAGAGTTAGCCTAAGAATGCAAAGAGCTTTACTGTCACAGGCAGTAAGAATAGTGTTTGTGAAACTGGTGTCTCTTGTTTCCTACAGGAACTTGAAATGTCTCCAGCTATAGACCAGCTCATTTGTGGCATCGGGTGGGTGACATTAGGATAAGGGCTTCCTAGCACTATGAAGACAACAAAGGTCAGACAACCAAGGCTCCTTATGGACTGGAATCTCTCAAGACAAACTGGAATCTCTCTTAAGACACACTTCTCTGAGAGGTGGCAAGGATGGACAAAGAGAATGCTGCTTGTCATTTTGTGTCTTGATTTCCACCCTGTCTGGCTCGTTACCTGACTCAAGCCAATACTTGTACTGTCCAGTCCAGCTGATGGAGACCAGAGAGAATATTTTCCCTGGTCACAAAGCCAAGCTCTGAAGATGTGAAACAAGATGAATGGTGCAGCTCATTTTATGATGTTCCTCCTTATGACAAGCACCACTAAAGACAGAGACAAAGAAACAAAGACTAGGAGGCTGTGGATTATAACCAATGGGTAGTCAGAACCAAATACAAAGGTCACAACTCAAAGAACTAAGTTTTACATACTTTTTCTCCTGCCAAGCTACATTTAGAAAGGGAAAAAGATAAGGAGAGACTTTCATTATTCTTGCTTTGGTTGGGCCATGCAGGCAGAGATCTAAGGGATTGATGTGTAAGAATTCTTACCTTCTGCTGGCTTTTTGTCAGCTGTCCCAGGATCTCTCAGTGTCCCAACCATTGAAATCCCAACCTCATAACCAGAAACTGTAGGGGAGGCAAAATTTTACCTCTATCTTCTTAAGGTTTTTTGGCTGGGCCTGAGAATTAAATTGGCATAAAACAGATTAACAGTAGAATTGTATACACATTTATGTTAAATGAAGACTCAAAGAAATGGCAAAATCTATAGGCTTTTATACTAGGTTGAACAAATAAAGGCAATTGTGAAAAAGTAAATTATATGGGGAGGCTAAAGAAAGATACGAATTATTTTAACAAAGTCTATGTATACAGGATACTCGGCTTTGATTTGCCACTGAAGAATGTTTCTTTTCTTCTGGTATAAGAGCATCCTTCACATGGGAGCTTTTATCTCCTGTTTTCAGGAAGAAAAGGGGAGCTTAGAAGGCTCTTCTTGCATCTGCTGTTTCTTAGGTGACTTTAGCTCAAAATAATCCTTAGGCTAAAGTGGCATATTTTGGGGTGGCATATTCTGCCACTCTTCAAGAACCAGAAAGTCAGTGGTCAGGACACAAGGAATATTTTAGAAGAGCCAAGAACACAGCAGCTCCATTTTTGCTCCATGTAGATTAAAGCTGTTGAATAACTGAGGGTCAGATGATTCACCTCCAGGTGAAAACCAAACTTATTTCACAGATCTCTAAAACACTCAGAACAGATACTGGGCATTAAGTTTCACCCTTCTTTTAGAGATGAGGAAATGAAGCCACAGAAACCCGTGTGTACTCGTTCAGACTGACAATTGATGTATTAGCAGAAATGTTAGAAACTTGGTAGAATTTTTTTGTTTGCTTTTTAATAACAAGCTTTAAAAATATGTTTAAAGCAGACCAATTCTGGATGTCATAATTGAATACAGAACAAGGTAGAGATCACCAAATGAATTGCAGAGAGTAACTGTACTCACTAGAAATTTGGCTCTCTTGAGAAAAGCTGCCTGAAACTCTTTCTATGCTGTGCTCAGTCTATGCTATGAAAGTGAGCATCTCTGATGCATTCTAGATAGCAGTAATGGGCTCTTCACTGCAACTACAAAGTTGTGTTCCCTTTAGTTTTGTCAAAAGAAGTAGTTACTTTTAAATAGTTCACACTCTCCTTTGTCATGAAATCTGTAAAGATAAAGCATGGTGAAAAGAATTATTAACACCATGAGTTCCATGAGAAACATACGTAAGATTCTGTGCTACTCATTGTGAGGAACACAAAGATGTATGGAGGAGAAGGCAAAATGACCAGATCTTGTTTTGGAGGAGGCAAATGTGGCATAGTAAAAAGATTATGGAATTTGCCATCAAATAGACCTAGATTTCAATCCCACTTCTGCCACCTAACAGCTGTGTGACTTTGGGCAAATTACTTGTCTCATTGAGCCTCAATTTTCTCTTCTACAAAATTCAGATGAATAGATGAACATTTGCATAGGGTTGTTGTAAAGATGGAGTGAAGAACCTCAACAAAACTATGTTTAATGAGACATTGACAGAACAATGTATCATATGAGTTAGAAAATGATACATGCCATGAGAAAAGTATTTCCTCAGAGCAGGAAGAGGTACTGTTTGCATAAAAAAGTTAATGCTTGACCTTACTTGACTTCTGTTTTTAAAGAAGTTATGGAAGTCTGAGGGAATGCACAAATAGCTATAACTAGTTTATGAGTAACAAATGGGTTTTTGGTGTCTATTCCTATTTATTTTCTCAGTAATATATGGTATCCTTAGGCTGTAAACTATAGTAATACATTTTTGGCATGGTATAATTTACCTTCATTTACAGAACTGTGTTTCTGTAGCAAGAATCAAAAGTATATACAGGTGTTCCATACGTGAATAAAATTACAATGTAGTAGATTCCAATATATGGCAGCCCAATTTTCGGGGCTCTTGTTGAAAAGAGATGGGAAAAGCATTTGAATGAATTATTACTTTTTTTTGGTATTACTATATTTTAAGTGTTAGACTCTGGGCAAAATCCTTCATTACCTTTTGTGAAGACTATTAGTCACTTTTTATAGATATATGACTTGGAATTCATGTAAAAATGGTGGTGCACTGCAAGGGACATGAGCCACACAACATGCCCATGAGACTGTACCATCTTGGATAGTAAACCGTTGTTTTAATTTTAAGTCCTCTTCCAGAATGCATGCTGCCCATCTGTGGGGGGTCTCTGCTGGAGGGACATGTTACATACACATCGACTTGAATCAAATGAATGCCTTTAAGCTTGCAACCCTAAAGTTATTTTTGAAAGTCATAATGTATTCATTAAGCAATTACTTAATTTCTTCACATGTTTTTCTCAGAACTAAGTATTAATTTATATATTTATATATAGCTATTATATTGTTATATTTACATATAACTATTTTTTAAAAATGAAGGTATTTGCACAAAAATTTAAAAATTTGTAATGAAAGTACTCTCCAGAAATAGTGCCTAATTGCTTATGGTATGGTGATAAACCTTAGCAGTGGTTAACTTAGCTCTGTACCTTCTAAGAAGATGCCCCTAAATTCCCTAGGCTGGGTTAGATCCTTTTTATATATATTCTCTCATCCTTCATTATAATGGAATTATCTGTTTATGTCTGCCTCCCTATTACACCCTATACTCTGTGGGAAATACTGTCTTACCTAACTTTATGTGCCTAGTTCAGGGACAAGTACTTTAAACAAAGGAATTTATCAGAAATGAACAACTTAATGACTGAGTTAATAAACACGAATCCTGTAATCTTTAACTTGTTTTGCTGCTGATGCCCTTCCACAGGCTAACATTTGGCCCATAGTTCTTGTGGCTATTTTGGGAAGAATATTATTGACTTATAGCTAAGAAGTGTTTCATCTGACTCTGGATATTTCAGAATTTTGCTAATGGACTGGGTTTTAGACACACATACATCTTGCCTAGTCTAGGAAAATGACTCATCCCTGAGGGTAGGCAGCTGTATTAGTTTTGTGTTCAGTGCCCTCTGCCAGGAATGACTGTATCGACAGCCTCAGTATCCGTGGGTTCCACATCTGTGAATTCAAATAACTGTGGATTGAAAATATTCAGAAAAAAAATTCTAGAAAAGTTCCAAAAAGCAAAAGTTTGAATTTGCTACTTGTCAGCAACTGTTTACCCAGCATTTACATTGTATTTACAACTACTTACATAGCATTTACATTGTATTAGGTATTATAAGTTAACTAGAGATGATTTAAAGAATGTGGGAGGATGTGCACAGTGGTTATGTTAGCAGTGGTTAACTTAATTCTGCATCTTCTAAGAAGATGCCCCTAAATTCCCTAGGCTGGGTAAGATCCTGTTTATATGTATTCCCTCATCCTGCATTATAGTGGAATTATCTGTTTATGTCTGTGTCCTTATTATATCCTATGCTCTGTGGAAAATACTATCTTACCTAACTTTATATGTCAAGTTCAGAAACAAAGATTCTTCACCATCTCACATAAGGAACATGAACATCTGTGGATTTTGGTATTTGCGGGGGGGCGGGGGGAGAGTGTGTCCTGGAACCAATTCCCCAGGATACAGAGGGTGACTGTACTTGGTGCTGGACTGTGAGCTCCTCCAAGGCAGAAGCCATGGTGTTCAAATGAAAGTAAAGTACGCAGCTCCGTAAACTTCTGTAGTTTCCAACTGCGTGCAGCACCCCATGGGTGCTTTAGTTCTGGTAACAGTGTCAGGCACTGAAACAAGCTCTAAATTCTCAGAGAAAAATCATTCTGAACCATCTTAGCTCATCCTTAAAGCACCAACCTGTGAGTGTTATTCACCGTGCCAGGAGCTTTCACTCACTTTAAATCCTCACAGTCCTGTTTTTCTTCCTCTGGTTTCTAGTTTTTGAACGATAGCTAAATCCTAGTGGGATTGTTTATACCATGGGTGTCCCATGGAGCCTAAGGTTATGGTAATATTAGAGTTTTTCTCACAATCCTTTTATCATTAAAAAAATTGAGATATTATACATAAAGTGCGTTGAGTGAACTAATCTTAAGTGTACGACTCGGTGAAGTTTTATCTAGGCAGACACCACCTCGATAACTACCACCCAGCTCAAGAGGCAGAACGCTCCGAGCTTCCGTGAGGTTCCCTTGTGCCCTTTCCATTTCCCCTCCTCCCCCCCGCGAGATAACCATTATTCTAATTTCTCTCATCATGGATAAATTTTGTATGAAATTACTCTGGAAGCAGTGTTAAGTGGAAATATTTGACCCACAGTCCCGCGGGGCTGGACGAGACGCACGTTAGGCTCCCTCTCTATAGGGCACCCCGCGGAGGCTCCAGGGGACCACAGAGCCACGGTTCCGCTCTCACCGACCCAAACCAGCCCCGCCAAGAGGCGCGTCGGGACTCACGAAGACAGCGCGGGAGCACGCCACAATGGCTGCCAGCGGTCACCTGCGGCCGCCTCGCCGCATCCTCCCCACCTTTCCAGTGGGCGCCGCTCCCAAGCGACGGGCAGCCCGGGTGTGGCCCTGGACGCGACCCGCCAGAACGCGAGCTGCCGGCGGGGGCGCTCGTGAGCTCGGGGTGTGGGGCGCGCGACCATTGGATGAACTTTCCCCGCGAGCTGGCCGGGAGCAGAGCCCACCTCCCGGCTCTCTCTCCGCCCTCCCATTGGCCGTTCGTGTCCCACCCGCGCCCGCTCCCGTCCTCCTCCCGCCCGGATGGAAACGGGGTTGAGGGGGTGGGAGGCCGAAGCCAGGAGGAGGGTGAGCGGTCCTCCTAGTAAGGGGGCACGAGGGAGCCAATCAGGACAAGACGTGGAAAAGAGGCGCCGCGTCAGCCAGTCACATTCCGAGGTCCGTGTCGGGGCCGGCTGACGCGAGCGCGGGCCGCAGCCAATGGGCGTGCCACCGCCCGTTCGCTCTTCAGCGGCCGGTCGGGGGCGGTGGAAGAGCGAGTGAAGGGAGCGCAACGCCGACGGCGACAGAGCCCTCTCTGGACTGCCAGGAGGAAAGCGAGGCCCGAGCCTCTGCGTCTAGGTGAGAGGCGGGGACGCCGGGCGGGAGAGGCGGGCTGCGGGTCCCTCCTCGCCTGGCCGGGGCCACGGTTCTGGGAGCCGGGGAGGCAGGCCTGGCCGAGGCGGGGGCTACACCAGCTGCCCCGCCCCCGCCCACGGCTGCGTAGAGCGGGGGGCGCCCGCTTCTGCCCGGATGGTCTCTGCGAGGCTTGGCGGGGCCACCGCCCTCTGGAGAGCCGGGACTGAGAGCGGTGCCATAGGGAGGGGCTTGGCTTGCAGACGCGGAGCCTGGGGGCGCCGCCTGGGGCGGAGAGACCGCGTAGAGGTGGCGAAGGTGGGGCGGAGTAGTTAACGGAGGAGCAGGTTTGTGCGCCTGAGGGTGGCAGTGAAAGGAGGCCTGTGATGGCAGGATTTTGGGTCTGGGGACGAAGAAAGTGATGGGAATAGGGTGATGCTCAGAAAAGGGTGCCCGGGGAGAAGGTGCGGAGCCGGGGCGTGTGGTTGGCCTCTTGGAAGTAGGCATTGATTGAGACTGGGGGGAAATCAGCTGGGAGTGAAGGGAGGACAGGCTTGGGACACGTGAATCTGGAGTAAGAGGCACTTACTAAAGCCGGAAGGTGACTGAGAGGCAGAGGTTTTAGGTGAGGTGTGGTTGGAGGCTGTTTGACTAGAAGGCGTTAGGTGGCCAGTTAGGAGAAAGTATACGAGGAGCAAACGAGGTAGGTTTATGTATGGTAACTGAAGGTGGATCTTTTATGAGTAAGTCAGCAAGAATAACTGTCGGTTTTGTCAGGTAGGAGTCAGTCAGCCAGGTCCATAGGTTCATTCACTACTCATCGATGGCCAAACTCTCAGACTTGTTAACTCTCACTGCTGAGATTGATTGTCCTCCCTCCCCAACCCTCCTCCTTCCTCCCCAACCCATCTCCCACCCGTGTGACAGTTCACCTCATTGTTTTGCCTCAGCAGCACACGAACTCATCTTCTTACAAGCCATGGCACAAATATTGTTAGCTTTTGATTGGATGGCAGTGAGGAATCGCTTAATTCTTATATCAAACAAAAGTAGAATGTGTTAGTTTAAAGACAACATCACAGGATACTTTGCGAAAACTGCAATACAGGGGAGTTTCTCAACAGTTATGTGTCATAAAAATGATGCAAGATCTCTTACAGTAACACAAGTAAGAGTGAACATAAGTACAATTCTCTTACTCTATAAGAATCAAGCATTTTGATGTAGAATTTGATTATGCATCATGCTTGTTGGGAAATTTTTCAGCCTTGGGAAGAGTTTTGTAGCTAAATAGTTTCAAAGTTCTTTTCACTTACAGGAAAGAAAAACGTGGTATCACTGCTACTACCTTTCTGTTTAAAGCTTTGGAAGTTTTATTTGCGGGGTATGGGCAGAGGTTGGGGGCAGGGAAAAGATAGTAGAAAAGAAAATGGTCCATTACTACATTTCCATTGGATTTAAACAGGAGGAGGTGATACAACTGAGGTATTATTTCTGCCTGAGGATAGGACAGAAGGATTGTGAAGAGTTAAGTGCTTCTTTACCAACATGAAGTAGCATAGTGTTAAGGACAAAACCCAAAGAGGGCATTTGTCATATAGGATGTTTCCTAATTAACCAAATCAACAAAGCATTATAGGTAATGGACCATTCTTTAGGATGTAGAAATAGTTTTGTGGAAGTAATTTCTTGGTAATGCTATTCACTGATCACATTTTACTCTTAGTATAACAGAGTACCTAAGTGCTGAGGGGCTGAGGCGACTCGGAGCAGAGAAGTAATCTGAGTGGTGTGGAGTTAATCAGGGAAAGTTTCCTGGAAGAGGTGAGTGTTGAGCCATCTTTTGAACTAGGAGTTGGGACATGGGTTATTGCAAGATAAGAGGATGGCATTCCAGTAGTATGGACATGTTATAAGCAACTGTGGACAAGAGTGACAAATTAAAAATGGTTTTTAAGGAGGATTGAAGATTTGAATGAAGATTTTTTTTTTAATAAATTTTATTTATTTATTTTTGGCTGAGTTGGGTCTTCGTTGCTGCGCGCAGGCTTTCTCTAGTTGTGGTGCGCTGGGGCTACTCTTCTTTGTGATGCATGGGCTTCTCATTGCGGTGGCTTCTCTTGTTGTGGAGCACCGGCTATAGGTGTGCAGGCTTCAGTAGTTGTGGCACGCGGGCTCTAGAGCGCAGGCTCAGTAGTTGCTTGAGGCACACGGGCTTAGTTGCTCCGCAGCATGTGGGATCTTCCCGGACCAGGTTTCGAACATGTGTCCCCTGCATTGGCAGGTGGATTCTTAACCACTGTGCCACCAGGGAAGCCCATGAATGAAGATATAAAGGTGTAGAAATCAACTAAGTCTGTTGTTATAGCTTAGTTGATAAATGATGGTTTTGTATGGTGGCTAGGAGAGAAAAATTAGAATAGTTGATGATGGATTGGAGATAAGTAGTGAAGAGTACAAAAATGTTTTTTGATAGTTATGATAAGAGGAATATGGTGAAAGTAAATTAGGTTATTGAGAGGTAGATTTGGTGTTCAACCGTATATAATAATAAATATTTTTGATTCCTGTACTAGATTATGTTGATAATAATAGCAAAATTTATTGGGTGCAACTTTGTGCCAGAAACTGTTTTGAGCTTTCCAAGCATCATCTTCCTTTGATTATCCCTACTTTATAAATGAGAGAACTGAGGTTCAGAAAGATTTAATTTAACCAAGGTAACACAACTAGTAGGTGGCAGGTCAGGGTTGGCAAAGTCAGTAAGTAAACGTGAATTGAGCATCTGCTTCATGCCAGGCATTGTGTTATTAAGTGCTAGGGATTCAAGGTTGACAAGCAAATTCAAAGTCAGGACTGAGCCATGTTTTAGAGATTGTCAGGAGTTAACAGAAGAGAGCCAGTGAAGAAATAGAAGATTAGTTGGAGAGACTTTTGTAGACACTGAGGAATATACTGTTTAGGGAAACTTAGGATAGAGTTTTAAGAAAGAGGAAGTGATCATCAGCAAAATATGTAGAGACTCAGAAGAGGAAAGATTGAGAAGAAACCATTGAGTTAAGTAAGGAAAAACAATGTGAATTTGGTCTCAAGAAAGCCATGATGAAGATACTAACATACGGACTGGTAGTTAATTGTGTTTAGTGGCAAGTGCTCTGTACAAATTTAAAGTTTGGTATGATCATAATTATGGTCAAATTCATAGGAAAGATGTTGGTATGTCCTTTTGTAATATTTTAGTTATTGGCTGGTAAGATCATGGGTAGTTTAAAAATGCTGGTACTTCTTGTATTTTTCCAAGTTTAAAAAAAAGCATTGTTATTTTTATCATTAGTGGGGAAAAATCATTCAACTAAAATGAACTAATAGTGAGAGAATATGTGGGTGGTCTAGTCTGTACTATGTTTGGGGTAGGAGAGAAGATGGTCTTATTTCAGTGTCTACTGCATATGAGCCACTTTGCTAGGCACAGTCCCATCTTGGCAATGACTTGTTATTGTTGGAAACAACCTGAAACTACATTTGCTTAATCTGAGGGATCAGGTTACTAAAGCATCCTGAATCATGGAGATATGGTCTTGGCTTTTCTGAACATTGTTTAATAAATGAATTTAAGGTTAAAAAAAACCAAACCAGTCGTACTTTGAGTCATTTTAAATGTGTCTTTTTGGCCTTATACCCTTCTCTCCTCCCACACGTAGGCTTGTAGTTCCTCTCTTCAGTGGGTTTGTATTGGGCTTAGAGTCTCAGTTCAGTAAGGCAACATGAAAGTGCTGAGTTTACATATAACAAGTTTAACTTAAACACTTAAAATTTGTCATTGTTTTCTGTTCCCAGTTTGAAGAAGAAAAGAGAGAAATTTCAAGAAAATAAGCTTTTCTTATCAAGTAATTATTCCAAAGCAAATTAGTAGTATTTGCCCTAGGGTTAATACAGATTTATTCCAATCTTATAAGTCAAGAATGGGACGTAGTTTTTAGTTTTAATTTCATTTGGTCCATAGGAATTGTGGAAGGAAACTTAACATTTCATCTAGGCACTGTACTATGTTCCTTAAATAAATTATTACATTTAATTCTCAGGCAATTATCTAAGGTGGTTATCTTATTTTATGAAGAGAATGAGATTTGGAGAAATTAGTAACTTTCCAAAGGCCAGAGAGCTAAGTGGCAGAGCTGGAGATTCCAGTTTGCTTTCTCTGACTCCAGAGCTCATGCATATGAGATGTATGGCAAAAAGGACTTGTTTATTAATACAGACAACTGAAAAAAATGCCACATAGCCTTAGGTATTTAGTAACTATTCGTTACTTTAGAAGATGGGACTCTTGCTCTGTGTGTTTGTGCCTGTGACATGGGGTCTTAAATGATAGTGATTTTTGTGTCTTATAGGGTACGTTATATTTCATTGCTTTAGAGGTGTGTTTTCACATTTTAATATTTTTTGAAATGAAGATTTTACAGTGTCTATATTTTTTAAAAAATGTTTACAAAATGGATAC